GCATCAAATTTACACATCAGCAGGAACACGAGTATATCAACAATTGGCTCATAAACATATGATCCATATACTGATAATGATTATGAGTATGTGTAGCTTAATCAACATATCTCTGTAAGACATTCCGTGTGTAACAGATTCTGTATTTGATTTATTTTCTTAGACTATTGCCCCACCCCTGATTTTCCAACGCATGTTGGAGTTGCTGATTACTCTGTGACTTTTCCTGTGGAGAATGGTACTGTTATTGAACTGAAATGTAATCCAGCACGATATGAGATGATTGGAGATCCACTGACACTATGTATAAATATGACATGGACAACAATGCCTAATTGTACAGGTGAATACTATTACACAAGAAAATGTGGGATATGTAAAAAACAATCATAATTGTTTTATAACCATGCAACAATTAATGATGCATCATCATCAGTGTTTGATTAATGTATTACTTTTTTTTTCAAGAAACTACACTTGAACCAATGACTTCCACAGCTGAGTATGTTACTGACATTATATCATTGGAACCAACCACTGATTTGACATCATTAGAACCGACCACTGATTTCACGTCATTAGAACCAACCACTGATTTCACATCATTGGAACCAACCACTGAATTCACATCACTGGAACCAACCACTGATTTCACATCATTAGAACCAACCACTGATTTCACATCATTGGAACCAACCACTGAATTCACATCACTGGAACCAACCACTGATTTCACATCATTGGAACCAACCACTGATTTGACATCATTAGAACCGACCACTGATTTCACATCACTGGAACCAACCACTGAATTCACATCATTGGAACCAACCACTGATTTCACATCATTGGAACCGACCACTGATTTCACATCACTGGAACCAACCACTGAATTCACATCATTGGAACCAACCACTGATTTCACATCATTGGAACCAACCACTGAATTCACATCACTGGAACCAACCACTGATTTCACATCATTGGAACCAACCACTGATTTCACATCATTGGAAGCAACCACTGATTTTATATCATTAGAACCAACCACTGATTTCATATCCATGGAAGCAACCACTGATTTCACATCATTGGAACCAACCACTGATTTCACATCATTGGAACTGACCACTGATTTCACATTGGAAGCAACCACTGAATTCACATCATTGGAACGAACCGCTGATTTCACATCATTAGAACTGACAACTGACTTGATGTCATCAACATTGCCACCTAGTACTGAAATAACATCAATGGGAACAACAACTGATATTATTAGTCCTCATACTTCAACATCTGTAACTCCCCATAAATCTACTACAGATGCTGCAACATCATTTCAAACAACAGCAGGTAAACAAATATTGATTCCTTAATCTTGTAATAACATATTACATTATACTCTTATAGTCAGGTTACCCTTTTGACAAACGTGTTTTAGCTATTTTGAGTTGTTGATAAACAAGGCCATTGTATCATATTAGTAACATCAAGTGTCATGCCATGTTGTTCTGTGTATTATATGTCTATGGTCAGCAATATTTACTTCAAATTCTATTATTGTGATTAATATTTCGTTAAAACGATTCTTCACCAAGCTGTATTTTATTTGAGTCTTCACACTATAGACATAATGCAACCTTAGTCTCCATTGAGAATATTGTTTCGACAATTTACATATATATCTGATGAATCTTCCTACAATATCAGATTTATTAATATAAGTGTAATAAATCTTATATTGTTGGTCACGAATTTGATATCCTGATTATTTAATGTATCCATACTTCAATCAGTGTATAAATCTTTATTCTGTGTCCTGGTATTAACATTTAGAGCCAAGTCAATGTAGCAATCCAGGACATCCTCCCAATGGTAAACTGATAAATACAACAAACATATCATTTCCTGCCATACCTGGTACTGAAGTCAGCTATGAATGCTGTGATGGATTTGAAGCTGCATCTGATACTTTGATATGTGTGGAAGACAACGGTGGCGCATTTTGGAAACCGGCGTATCCGGTCTGCATTCCAGGTATGCTCATTAAATTCACCAATTTACATCTACATAGATTAAGGGATATATAAGTAAACTTCTTTATATAATGCAGACATACCTGACATTTGAGTTGATTAAATAAAAGCTACGGGGAATGAAGATTTGATAATATGTTACCATGATACTATCACAATAAAATACTACATGAAGACAGTAAGGGGATCTTATTCAACAATGCATAGCAAATGTTAGAGTGGAAAATTTGAGGTATTCTCTGATAAATTACAATGAGGCAAATTTTGTACTGTGCAAATGCTTTGCGGCCATGCAGTGCCGAGATTCTATTTCTGTTGACCAGTAGAGCTTTTGTGTTCGATGTGAACAAAGAAAAGTGTTCAAAAGTAGTGTTTATCCCATCCATGCACTCACACTCATTTATGTTTTGTGCACGTGACTTTTGCGAACTGAAGTGCAACGTTGTCACAGCAGATTGCAAGCTGGTTGTCATAAGTGTAAAGAAATGATGTTGCACTGTGACAGCATATGAGGAATAAGTGGATATACATGTATGTTACAGAACGAATGCAGAATAGGAAATTTGATTGTTTCATGCCAGATGAATAATAATTAGAGATAAACCATGCACGGGTAAAACCGTGTGACATTTTTAGAATCAGCATGTTATCTACGTTACTCTACGTTAATTTCTTTAGCATTTTCTTTTGTGTAACTGTATCAGCACGAAAATTGTGATACTGGCCACATGAAAAAAAATTAGCGTCATGATTATGAGTCCCCGTTTAGACACTGTTTGAAATCGAGGCTCATGGAATAAACTCTGTGTGTGCGTCTGTGTGTGTTCGTCCGAACCTATATCTTATTCATACCTGGACCAATTACATTTAAACCCGACACCTACATCATCAAAAATCAAGCATTACGGATTCAAAATGGCTGACTGGTGGCCATTTTGTTTGAATGAATGCAGTTGTTGAGCCATATCTCTTACATGCTTTGACTGATTGTTTTCAAATATATTCGACATATATATTCATATTTTCAGCTCCGCTGTCGACACAGCGGGGCTGTTCATATTACTGATTGTCCGGCGCCGGTGTCCGTTGTCGTCAACTTTACAATTTCAACTTCTTCTCCGAAACCGTAAGTCAGAATATTTTCAAATCTGATATGCAAGTACTTTGGATGGTTCTTTCGCAGATTTGTTCATTTCATGTCAAAATCTCAAATTCTCTAATTTTGATGAATATTTTTGTCATTTTTGGTAACAAGTGATATTTTCAACTTGTTAAAAACCTCAAGTCTGATTGCTTTGATATTACATACATGTATAAAAAAACTACATGTGAACCTCTCTCAGATTTGTTCATTTCATGATGATCGATATCTTCAATTTTCTAATTTTTATGAATATTTTTGGTGAAAAGTGATATTTTCGACTTTTTGTTGAAAACAGTCTGATTGCTTTGATGCTATACATATTGTTTATTTTCTAATGATATCTTCAGTTCTTAATTGAAATGTGCATTGCTAACAGCAGAGCTATCTCAACCAACAGACTGCTTGTATATATACATCATGACTACGGTACATGTTATACAGATGTTTTGATTTGACAATCTGATTCAAAATGGTCAACCGGTGGCCATTTTGTTTTAATATATGCTGTTTCAGAGCAATATCTCTCAATACTTGTTTGACGATCAGATACAAATGTCAATCATTTTAATGTTAAACAATCATAATAATATTCCTGACATGTTTATATTCCAGCTATATTACTATAAACAAAACTATATATTCTAAATTTGACATGCATGGCTTGTTATTTGTAGTTTGTAATGATGATGAATTAAGTGTTGGAGGCTCGTGTTATCTCCTGGGAACTGGAAGAGGCTCTTGGTATGAAGCTGACGCATACTGCAAATCGGTGGACGTTAGTTATTACCTAGCAGAAATTGAAACTGCAGAAGAACACAGTTACCTCCAGGGTAACCTTACATTGTTACCACAATCAAGGTGGCGATTCTGGCTCGCTATGATACAGTACAATGTTGGAAATTGGACGTGGATTTCAGGAGAATTATTAACATTTGATATATGGGAAGATGGCTATCCATCTGGTCAGTACCATTGTGGTGCTTTAGTCAGAGGTGGGGAGAATAAGAAGGAACATTTCCGTATGCGAGATGTAGAATGTGATTCTACTCGTTATATTTTATGTGAAAGAGGTAAATCAATATTAATATTCTCTATATTTCAACATAGTTAGGCATATAATTTTCAATTTTTAACCTCATATCATCAATATACATACATTGTATCTTGAAATGTATTCAGAGTTATCACATGTTTATTTTGAAAGGCTATATCAAAGTTATCAAATAATAGTTGGCTTATGGTTATGTGCTTATATTCTGTTATTTTCAGGTGGCCGAATTACATGTGCTGATCCTGGTAACTTGGCTAATGGAAAAATATCACCAGATATTGAATATCCAGCTGCATATCAACAAATATTGAGTTTTACATGTGATGATGGTTATGAATTAATGGGAGCTTCTACAATTTTTTGCAATATTGATGAATGTGAACCAGGATATAAATGGAGTGACAGTATTCCAGAGTGTGTACCAAAAGGCAAATATATTGTTAAAGTTTAATAGAATCACAACTCACACCAATATTATATGTGTACAATTGAAATATATTGTCTCCTTCATCGCTGATAGCCAAATTAAATTAAACCATCTATTGATGTGAGTGGATCCAAATCATCCGCTTACGTCTTTTTTATTCAAGTCAGAAAAAATGCTGTGTTTACTACAACCAGTAGTGTTAATGGCCATAAATGCAGAGTGTTTAAATTCCATTTTATTTTTGGCTATTTCACCTCTTGTGTGACCTTTCTCCATGAGCCTGGCTTCCAATAGTTGCTTATTTTTTAATCATAGTATGAACACTTGAATGAGTGTTTACTTGTTGATGTGTTTAATTTTGTATAAAATATGGTGTTTTGTACTGGACATGCGTGGTTGGTCGGTCGTATTTTGTTGAATTAACAAGTAAGGGTAGTTTCTCATTAAAAAAGGAGTGTTTGAATTGCAGATCCTTAAGTCTGGTAATTTTAAATTGCTCATCTTGTAACTCGGCGATGGCTCATGTGTATGCCCATTTTTGTGTTATTTTGTTGATAAGTGTGTATTATATATTGCATCAAAATTTTACACATCAAGCAGGAACACGAGTATATCAACAATTGGCTTCATAAACATATGATCCATATACTGATTAATGGTTATGAGTATGTGTAGCTTAATCAACATATCTCTGTAAGACATTCCGTGTGTAACAGATTCTTGTATTTGATTTATTTTCTTAGACTATTGCCCCACCCCTGATTTTCCAACACATGTTGGAGTTGCTGACTACTCTTTGACTTTTCCTGTGGAGAATGGTACTGTTATTGAACTGAAATGTAATCCAGCACGATATGAGATGATTGGAGATCCACTGACACTATGTATAAATATGACATGGACAACAATGCCTAATTGTACAGGTGAATACTATTACACAAGAAAATGTGGGATATGTAAAAAACAATCATAATTGTTTTATAACCATGCACCAATTAATGATGCATCATCATCAGTGTTTGATTAATGTATTACTTTTTTTTTCAAGAAACTACACTTGAACCAATGACTTCCACAGCTGAGTATGTTACTGACATTATATCATTGGAACCAACCACTGATTTGACATCATTAGAACCGACCACTGATTTCACATCATTAGAACCAACCACTGATTTCACATCATTGGAACCAACCACTGAATTCACATCACTGGAACCAACCACTGATTTCACATCATTAGAACCAACCACTGATTTCACATCATTGGAACCAACCACTGAATTCACATCACTGGAACCAACCACTGATTTCACATCATTGGAACCAACCACTGATTTGACATCATTAGAACCGACCACTGATTTCACATCACTGGAACCAACCACTGAATTCACATCATTGGAACCAACCACTGATTTCACATCATTGGAACCAACCACTGAATTCACATCACTGGAACCAACCACTGATTTCACATCATTGGAACCAACCACTGATTTCACATCATTGGAAGCAACCACTGATTTTATATCATTAGAACCAACCACTGATTTCATATCCATGGAAGCAACCACTGATTTCACATCATTGGAACCAACCACTGATTTCACATCATTGGAACTGACCACTGATTTCACATTGGAAGCAACCACTGATTTCACATCATTGGAACCAACCACTGATTTCACATCATTAGAACTGACAACTGACTTGATGTCATCAACATTGCCACCTAGTACTGAAATAACATCAATGGGAACAACAACTGATATTATTAGTCCTCATACTTCAACATCTGTAACTCCCCATAAATCTACTACAGATGCTGCAACATCATTTCAAACAACAGCAGGTAAACAAATATTGATTCCTTAATCTTGTAATAACATATTACATTATACTCTTATAGTCAGGTTACCCTTTTGACAAACGTGTTTTAGCTATTTTGAGTTGTTGATAAACAAGGCCATTGTATCATATTAGTAACATCAAGTGTCATGCCATGTTGTTCTGTGTATTATATGTCTATGGTCAGCAATATTTACTTCAAATTCTATTATTGTGATTAATATTTCGTTAAAACGATTCTTCACCAAGCTGTATTTTGTTTGAGTCTTCACACTATAGACATAATGCAACCTTAGTCTCCATTGAGGATATTGTTTCGACAATTTACATATATATCTGATGAATGTTCCTACAATATCAGATTTATTAATATGAGTGTAATAAATCTTATATTGTTGGTCACGAATTTGATATCCTGATTATTTAATGTATCCATACTTCAATCAGTGTATAAATCTTTATTCTGTGTCCTGGTATTAACATTTAGAGCCAAGTCAATGTAGCAATCCAGGACATCCTCCCAATGGTAAACTGATAAATACAACAAACATATCATTTCCTGCCATACCTGGTACTGAAGTCAGCTATGAATGCTGTGATGGATTTGAAGCTGCATCTGATACTTTGATATGTGTGGAAGACAACGGTGGCGCATTTTGGAAACCGGCGTATCCGGTCTGCATTCCAGGTATGCTCATTAAATTCACCAATTTACATCTACATAGATTGAGGGATATATAAGTAAACTTCTTATATAATGTAGACATACCTGACATTTGAGTTGATTGAGTAAAGCTACGGGATGAGATTGATATATG